ATAGTTTTGTAAACAAAGAAAATCTTTAATAAAAAGACATTTTTTTTAAAAAAATAAAAAATAATGCAATGCACATGTCCACGACTTCACTGTCTTATCATTGCACCTGTGTAAGCAATCCAGCTACAAACCTGAAGCCTCGTATTACATACAGAAACTCACAGTTTTCTGAAAAAGAATGACCAACACCCCAAGAAGCAATTCCTATGTGTGGCAATGCATCCTTCTCATAAACTTTTTGTTGATCCAAGCTACCTCCCTCTAAAACATGAATACAGCAGATCTGAATGTCTGTGATCTGTAATTGGGATCTTACTTCTGTGGAAACTGCTATGACTGCCAGACTGCAGGAATACCTTTCCAGAGGCATGTGATTCTGGCAGTGTTCTCTTCCACGTCAGCCTAAGTCACAGTGTCCCAAGGAGATTACAATTATGGGAAGCATGGGTGTAGCCAGGATTTATTTTAGGGGAGCCTGTGAAGAAGAAGAGAAGAGTTTGGATTTGATATCCCACTTTATCACTACCCGAAGGAGTCTCAAAGCGGCTAACATTCTCCTTTTCCCTTCCTCCCCCACAACAAACACTCTGTGAGGTGAGTGGGGCTGAGAGACTTCAGAGAAGTGTGACTAGCCCAAGGTCACCCAGGAGCTGCATGTGGAAGAGCGGGGAATCGAACCCGGTTCACCAGATTACGAGTCCACCACTCTTAACCAATACACCACGCTGGCTCTCCTCCTCTTCTTCCTCTTGTGCCTCCTCTTCTTCCTCTTCTGAATGAACTTTCCTTTCCCTTGTGGACCATGGTATTTGTTTCTCCCTCTACACAGGATTTCTCTTGTTATAACCAGATTTTATATTCCTTATACGAAATAGTCCCCTCCATGTCCCCTCCATATGAAATAAAAGGTAAAGGTAAAGGTACCCCTGCCCGTACGGGACAGTCTTGACAGACTCTAGGGTTGTGCGCCCATCTCACTCTAGAGGCCGGGAGCCAGCGCTGTCCGCAGACACTTCCGGGTCACGTGGCCAGCGTGACATCGCTGCTCTGGCGAGCCAGCGCAGCACACGGAAACGCCGTTTACCTTCCCGCTAGTAAGCGGTCCCTATTTATCTACTTGCACCCGGGGGTGGTTTCGAACTGCTAGGTTGGCAGGCGCTGGGACCGAGCAACGGGAGCGCACCCCGCTGCGGGGATTCGAACCGCCGACCATGCGATCGGCAAGTCCTAGGCGCTGAGGTTTAACCCACAGCGCCACTCGCGTCCATATGAAATACCATATTTCAATTCTTCTTTACTTCCAATTGTCTTCCTTCATCCTCAACACGTTTCTCTTTTCAATTTTTGGTAAACTGTCTCCTTTTTAGTTTTTTATTATCCCTTATACTTTCTGTTTTAACTTAAGTACCATAAATTATTTTGCAGAAATTAATCAAAACAAGTCCAAGTATTAATTTGAGGGCACTGCTTTTTAAGGTAATCTTTATATTCTTCCCATTCTTTTGGATATATTTGTTTGGGCTGGCTCCTAATTGCCTCTGTCAATTTAGCCAATTCCATATAATCAAATAATTTGTCGTGCCATTCTGTATTGTTTCTTTCCCCCAATTTTTAGCAATTAGTGTTCTCGCAGCCCCTGTAGCATAAAGGAATATTTTCTTATTTTCTCTGGCAATATCTGTGTCTAATATCTCCAATTGAAAGCCATTCTATTCTTTCAGAAACATAAAAAGCCATAAAAATCCTGCAAGATTTACAGTTGTCTTAATTATGTTTTTCGTCAATTAAACAGCCACTGGCAGTACAAAGTATCTCTAATGCAACTTGTTTATTACACAACATGTCATTTTCATGGAGCAGTGAGTACCATGCTCTGGTCCATGGGGTCACGAAGAGTTGGACATGACTAAACGACTAAACACGTGAGTACCAGCTGCCTGTTCCATTTGTTACACAAAGCATCAATTACTTAAGTGGTCCCTGAATACATCGTCCTTTGATTGCAAGCTTAATTGGTTGCGCAGCCAGTTGTTTTCATACTTTGTCCATTGCAAAAGACACCTATGGCAGAATCAGCCCTAGGGCGGCACATCCCTTATTCCCCCAAATGGCAGTGATCTTGTCCAAAATCAGTGCTGATGATGCTAGTGCTTCTCCTCCACTGGCAGAAGCAGCAGGGCAGGAGGGGCACCCATGGGCATTGTGCCTGGTTGGGGGCTTCTGCCACCTGAAGCATTGTCCTCACCTGCCTCAAGGCTTGTCCGGCTCTGGGATCAGCCCTGTCTTTGGTAGCTTTGCTCTGTGAAGTTTTGCCAGTTCCTCTTGGTCCAATCCTTAAATCACACAGCATTTGCATGTTTAGAATAATATGCAGTTTCATCTATTGTTTTTCTCAGTGGATAAGGGATCACTATAATTGTCCATCCTGAAGCTTTAATAACTGCCGGGCATTTGATCAGAGTGATCTTCTCCCCTCCACCTTGTTTGAAGCTTTAATGGGTCGTAAGGTTTACGACCCATATATTCCATGCAAAGTGTCCCACATTCCGTTCCAAGCACCTTGCACATGAAAGCACCAGGACTGGGCATGAAAACTCAAATGAAACCTCAAAGCAGAGAAGGTTAACTCATTGGCCTTTAGATGTTTCTGATCCGGAGATCCCATCACCCCTGATCTTTAGCAACAAATAACAGTGACTCCATGGAGTGCAGGACAGAAGAGTGAAGCAGCTTCAGAAACAGGGTTGGGAAGGGGGAAAGGGGGCTTAGTCATCTTCAAGGGTGGAAAGGGGAAAGGAGAGGACAGGTTGGCCAATTATGATGGGGTGCAAAGTGGGACATAGCAGGTGGAGCAAGCAGAGAAGCAGAGCCCCCCCCCCAGTTTGAAAATATTTTTGTAAGTTGCCTTGAGTCTTGTCTGGAAAAGGTGTCTGAGAAATAGGATGATGATGATTGAAAGAAGGATAAGGAGTAGGATAAGAGAGCATGTGAAGATTGCCCTTCCTTCAAGTAAGCACAAGAGTCCATCATTTCACCTTTGAAATCTCCTTGCCCTGCATGTCCCCACTCAACCTCTTCAATCAATTGACTTGAATCTTTGCTTTTTGAAGAACTGTTTGAAGCCATTACTACTACCAGTGGCTTTTGCGTGTGAAGACCCCCAAACCACCTCCAAAATAAATCACACAGGAAACAGAATTGGCATTAATTTGGCCACAACTTTATTGTTTACAGCATGTGAGTGGTTGCTTAGGCATTGGTTCGGAATTCCTGAACTGGACTGACAACTGGAACCTCCAGAGGTCAGTAAGGGAAAACATACTGGGGGAGCACAGAGGTGGATTTCCACCTCTTAGTTCACCCCAGATGTTCCCAGGAACTCTGGCATGGCCCTACCCTTGAGAGGGGATCAGACAGAGCAAATCGAGCCCCTGGATTCCTTTAACGGAATTCCCCAGCAGCAGCAACAAAATTGAGGGGCAGGCACGGCCAATCCATTATTTCCTCCACCAAAGAATGAACCAATGCCTAACCGCCAACCTTACAAAGTTGTGACGATTTGCTACACGGTAGGCAAAAACCAAGTGGCACCAGCCAATCATCCAAGTGGCAAAATTCCTAGCGGGCCCCTGCTCCAAAAACAGACGACCCCTAGACAGGCATAGCAAGGTCAAAAACACAACCTAAAATTATAGGGAGGGAGGGAGATTCGCTGCACGATGTGAAAGAAAAAGTACTTCACCACGTGTAGCCCCTTAAATAGCCCCTTATGTGCCAATCAAACCCCAACTGACAGAAATCTGCCCCAGTAGCAAAGGGGCGACCAATGAGGCAAGGAGGTCATCCAAACGGGCCCGCCCCTGCAACAAGAAGGCAGTTTGGTGATCTCACCACAACACGTGGCTCTCCATGATTTGGAGGACACGATTTCCTGGGGTGTCGCAGGGGTACGCATACCCCTAAACATTTTGTGAATCTAAGTTTGGCCTCATTGAGGGGCATTATTTCAATATGATTAATTTATTTTTTTTTAAAAAAAGCAGACTACTACTAAGCATAATCATTGTGAAAAACATCTTCATGTATGTGACAACGGCCGCGATAGTTTTAATAGCACAAGGATGGAAGACTGAAGAAACCCCAGTTAAAGAAGCATGGCAAGAAAAATTGATGGACTATGCAGAACTGGCAAAACTGTCAGACAAGCTATGAGACAAGGATAACTGCGACTTTAAAGATGAATGGGAACCCTTTACAAAGTATTTGAAGACGCAACAAAGCGAACTGGATTCCTTGGCTGGTTTTGAATAAACATTCACAAACTTTTTATTGATAATTATTACTTAAATTGTTTGAGGATCTATACAACTGTGTAACATGCAGAAAACAGCATTTTTAGAGAAATCAAAGACTGGAGCTGAGGGAAGTCGGTGGGTGGGTGGGTTCTGTGGGGGGAAGGAGGAGAAGGGAGGAAAAAGGGGGAAAATAAGGATGATATGTTTCTGGGTATTATGTTTTGTTTTAATTTTGAATAAAAAAGTAATTTTTTAAAAAAAGAATAATCATTGTGGGAGGTGAGCATGTGAAAAGTGCCCTTCCTTCAGGTAACCGCAAGGGTCCAGCAATGCGGTGGGGACAGGTGAGGGGTGAGTTATTTACCTGAGGGATACATCCCCCTAGCGCTGCCTATGTGGGGCATTGCATCCTTCTCATAAATGTTTCATTTGATTCAAGCTATTTCACTCTGAAGCATGAATACAGCACATCTGAATGCTTGTGATCTTCTTTGGAAAGTGCTATGACTGACCGAATGCAGGAATGCCATTCCAGAGGCACGTGATTTTGGCAACGTTCTCTTCCACGTCAGCCTAGGTCACAACGACCCAAAGAAATTACAATTATGAAATCTTCTTCTCCCTACCTGCCCTCTCTTGGCAAGCTTTGGGGCTCCATTTAGTTTAAAAGCTGGCTTTGCCTGGCTTTGCCACCACAATTCATCCTGAGCCATGAAGATCCTTCACCTGTGCTTGGCAGTTCTCTCTTTGCTGCTCCTGGCTTCCCCAGGTAAGGGATGGAGAGGAAGAAGACAGAGGGAAACCTGCCAGCCTATTATGGGGTGGAAGAGGGAGAGGAGTACAGTTGGTATTCTGTGCAATTGCTGATCTGTGGCCTTGCAAAGGAAGCTAACTTTTCTTGCTAGAGACATTTCTTTAGTGGTAAATTTTGCATAAAAATGTATATATCAGACAAAATTGCCCATCAAAGTGTGTCTATTAGGGAAAATATGCACTGTGTTGCTGAATTTCCCCCATTATGCCCATCATTGCTATGCAATCTCCCCTAATATAACCTTTACTGTATTTTCATTCTGTTTTCATGAAGTTACACTTTTTCATGTGCAGTTGAGTAGACACATTTTTTTAAAAAAATATTACTTGAAGGGAGAGCTGCCTTTCAAAGGATGGCTGTGCTTTGATGTTCACATGTTAACTTTAATATGGTGCAGTAATACATGGGAAAATTGCATCGCATGTAAAAGTGGTAAGGAAAAACAAAAGTAGCCTCCTCTTTTCTCAGTTTGGTCAGATTTTATGGAATTCTATGCAATTCTATGGAATACATTTTAAAAAGTAAAAATTTGATTTGCCTCTTCCACAGGTCTTTCACTAAAATTGGCATATGTCGTGTCTAATTAGTGGGGAAATGTTTCTTGATGTAGTATACAGCTTTTTATTCTGGGCAGTCCTTGGGGCTCTGATGGCTTCAGTTCCAGGCTTTAGTTTCTCTATAACTTATAAGCCATGTGTGCCTCACTTCTTGCTGTCGTGTTTCGTGGACTGACACCCTCCACTCATGAGCAAATATCTGGATAAGCAGATTGACCATTTCTTCTTGTGAATGTAGCAAGGGTGGTAAACACCAGTGGCCAGTGGCAGGGGTGGGGTTGGGGGGTAGGAGTTGGGATGCCACAGCACCCAGAGCCTCACAGAGCCACTCCTGTTCAAAGGGCTGTGGAGTTGTTCCTCTCTTTCATCCTATTGTGATTTAACTTCCTTCTCCCCACTTACGTTTGTTTCTCTCTTTGCACAGGATCTGCACAAGACGATGAACCTAATAATGGTAGGCAATGCCGTAAAGCCAAAGGATTTTGTGGTTTTCTTTCTGCCTATTGTGAATTAACTTCCTTCTTCACACTTATGTTTGTTTCTCTCTTTGCACAGGATCTGCACAAGACGATGGACCTAACAATTATGACGAGTGTGAATATAGCAACGGTATTTGCATAGATGGAGGTTGTCCAGATAATTCTCAAGAGATTGGAATGTGTGATGATGATCTGTTCTGTTGCAGAAGGTAATTTCTTCTTGCCAAAGGAGAATTACACCTCCTGCCCCTCTCCCTTCAGCCTCTGGATTGATCATTTTTTCATTTCATTTCATTATTTCATTTCATTTCATTTTAATGTTTGATGCATTACTGTATTTTATTATTTTGTTGGAAGCCACCCAGAGTGCTGAGGAAGCCCAGCCAGATGGGTGAGGTATAAATAATAAATTATTAATTATTGTTAATAATATATTATTATTATTATTATTATTATTATTATTATTATTAGCCTCTGATTTGGGTGGCTGCCACCCTAAATTGACACCCCTTCTCAGACTGAGGCTAAGGGACCCACAGAAGTAAGAAATTAGTTTCATTACGTACAACCTGGAAAACTTTAGGATGGCTTGTCACAATTAACTATTGATCAGTCTGCATGTTTACAATAATCTGTCTGATTCAAGTTTAGCATGATTTAACGTAGCATTCATCCGCTGTTAAAATCCATTGGACTTTTCCATCACAACCCTCTTATATCCAATTTGTTAATTACATATATTACTTTCATAGATCAATGAGTACCAGCTACCTGCTCCATTAATTACCCAAAGCATCGTTTACCTAAATAGTCAATTGCTCCACATACCAAATGCAGAGTCCCCTAAGATGATCATCCTTTGCCTGCAAGCTCGATTGCTCCATTGCAAAACAAGGACAACAAAATCTCTGGCAGAATCAGCCAAGGGTGGCACATCCCATTTTGCCGCTTGAGGCGAAGTAAGAATTGCTTCTTTGCCATGCCACCAGCACAGCTCCTAAGCCCATCCACCTGCTCCTCCTTCCATGGCCTGATCTGCCGCTGACACACACCATCCCCTGTTGGTTGCAGGCACAGAAGTGGCACTACCATTGCTGCCAATTTTAAGCAAGATGGTGCCGAGTTCTTTCCCCACAGGCAGAACCAGCGGGGCAGGAGGGGCACCAATGGGTTTGTTGTCTGAGGGGCTTCTGCCAGCAGAAGCAGGGTCCTCATCTGCCTCATGGCTGGTCCAGCTGTCTTTGGCCCCTTTGCCCTGTGAGCTTATGCCAGTTCTCCTTTGCCAAATCCCTAAACCACACCGTATCTTACTGCTCCTGCTGCTATGGCCTGCTCTGCCACTGCCACACAATCTACCCTCAATGGCAGAGAAGCAGCACAGTCATCGTTGCAAATTTTAAGCAAGAAGGTGCTGTGGTGCTTTACCACTGGAAGAGCCAGTGGGGCAGGAGGGGGATCAAGGAGTGTGTGGTCTACAGGGCATCTATCACCTGAAGCACGGTCCTCACCTGCCTCATGGCTGGTCCAGCTCTGCAGTCAGCTGTGTCTTTCTGATGTAAAGAATTTGAAAGAAGAAATTTTGTCCTGGGTCATTGCAGAGAAATTAGCAACTGGACTGAACGAACCCCAGGGTGCCAGTTCTCCCGTGTTTCTCAAAACATTGTCACAAACTGGTGAGCAAGCTTCCTGTTTCCCCAGAACTCTTCCTCAGGGCCACAAAGACAAGAAATCCCTGCCGTGCATAACATCCAGTCTGCAGGAGAATATTGGAGACCTTGAAAGCTTGCTCACTATTCTGTGACATATTTAATTGTACCTAGAAAAGAAAGTCCCTCAAGGGTAAGGATGGGCAAGAGATTGGATTCAATTCTCATCAAAAGGGGAATCTATGTAATTCATAGTTACTGGAAATGAAAAAATGAAACAGACCTATCCCTACCCAATGGCTTATTATCGTGAAATCTTTCTTGTGGTCCAACATGCCTTGCTTTGTGTTTTCATGTCTCAAACATGGTCACTTTGCTATGAAACTGATTTAACTGTTGTCTTTTTGTTGCTGGTTTCTACATTTTAGACAGGAGAAGTGATAGATGCCTTTGAAAAGTGGAAGATGCTCCCTCTCTTTGAGAGCCGCTGGATCCCGCTTGATCCCCAGCTAGGGACTTCTTCTCCAAAGCATCCAGATTGAAAAAAGCAACAGTTTCACGGCTTACCTGAGCTTGTGCCTTGCAATAAAAGCAGATCCAAAAGCCTTTTCCCCTCTGTTTTTCATTTCTAAGCATGAGTGTTCTTGCTAGTGAAGCCAAAAGGGCACCTTACGTCCATGAGAAGGAGGTGTCAGCAGGCATGGTTTTGGAGAGGCCCAAAATGTCATTAGAAAGGAAGACTAAAAGGGGGTGAGGATCCCCCAAAACAGTCTAGTGAGGAGAACTAGGCCACAATGTGGGAAATGAAGAGTGACAAAATATGGAGGGTGGAATGAGAGGGAGAAGAAGTTCAGTTCTGCTTCCATTTAAATGGTAACCAACCTGAGTGGCACTCTTTTAAAAAGTATGCCAATTGAAATATAGTCATCCTTCAAAGTCCACAGGTGTCTGAATTTTGGGATTATTGAACAGACCAGACCAGATCTGGAAGCTTCTTCTTATAGATTCTAGGCCCCTCCAGCTACAGGATTACCGGACGGGAAGTAGTCCAGGCTTTTACAGAAACTAGCTCCACCAAGCCCACTTCTTCTTCTTCTTCTTCTTCTTCTTCTTCTTCTTCTTCTTCTTCTTCTTCTTCTTCTTCATATTATTATTATGCATAATTGCATGCACATGTGCTTACCAAGAAGAATTCTTCATCCTAGCATCCCATGGCATCCAGTCTGGTGAGATAAGAAAATGTAAACAATAACAATAACAACAAGAACAAGAACAAGAACAAGAAAACAATAACAATAATTTATTATTTATACCAGACCCATCTGACTGGGTTTCCACAGCTACTCTGGGTGGCTTCCAACAGAATATTAAACTACAATAACCTATTAAACATTAAAAACGTCCCTAAACAAGGCTGCCTTCAGATGTCTTCTAAAAGTTTGGTAATTGTTTTTCTCTTTGACATCTGGTGGGAGGGCGTTCCACAGTGCAGGTGCCACTACCGAGAAGGCCCTCCGCCCGGTTTCCTGAACTTGGATTCTCATAGTGAGGGAACTGCCAGAAGGCCCTCAGCACTGGACCTCAGTGTCCGGGCAGAACGATGGGGTGGAGATGCTCCTTTAGGTATACTTCACTGAGGCCATTTAGGGCTTTAAAGGTCAGCACCAACACTTTGAATTGTGTTTGGAAACTTACTGGGAGCCAGTGTAGGTCTTTCAAGACCAGTGTTATATGATTTTGGCGGCCGCTCCCATTCACCAGTCTAGCTGCCGCATTCTGGATTAGTTGTAGTTTCCGGATCACCTTCAAAGGTAGCCCCACAAAGAGCGCATTGCAGTAGTCCAAGCAAGAGATAACTAGAGCATTCACCACTCTGGTGAGACAGTCTATGGCCAGCTAGGGTCTCAGCCTGCGTACCAGATGGAGCTGATATACAGCTGCTCTGGACACAGAATTGACCTGCTCCTCCATGGACAGCTGTGAGTCCAGAATGACTCCCAGGCTGCACACCTGGTCCTTCAGGGGTACGGTTACCACATTCAGGACCAGGGAGTCATCCACACCTGCTCGCCTCCTGTCCCCCCAAAACAGTAATTCTGTCTTGTCAGGATTCAACCTCAATCTGCTAGCTGCCATCCATCCTCCAACCGCCTCTAGACACTCACACAGGACCTTCACTGCCTTCACTGGTTCTGATTTGAAAGAGAACTAGAGCTGGGTATCATCTGCATACTGATGAACACCCAGCCCAAACCCCCTGATGATCCCTCCCAGCAGCTGCATGTAGATGTTGAAAAGCATGGGCGAGAGGACAGAACCCTGAGACACCCCACAAGTGAGAGCTCAGGGGTCTGAAAACTCATTCCCCACCACCACTTTCTGAACACGGCCCAGGAGGAAGGAGCAGAACCACTGTATGACAGTGCCCCCAGCTCCCAGCCCCTCTAGACGGTCCAGAAGGATCTTATGGTCGATGGTGTCAAAAGCCACTGAGAGATCCAGGAGAACTAGGAAACAGCTCTCACCTTTGTCCCTAGCCCGCCGGAGATCCTAGACCATTGTGACCAAGGCAGTTTCAGTCCCATGATGAGGCCTGAATCCTGACTGGAAGGGATCCAAATGGCATGCCTGGAATTGTTCAGCAACCACTCTCTCAATCACCTTGCCCAAGAATGGAAGATTTCAGACTGAGTGATAGTTGGCCATATTGGAAGCATCTAAAGATGGTTTTTTAAGAAGTAGTTTCCTAACTGCCTCTTTCAGCCCGTCTGGGAAGGTTCCCTCACAGAGAGAAGCATTCACCACCCCACGAAGTCCATCGCCCAGCCCTTACCGGCTAGCTTTTATAAGCCAGGGTGCCCAAGGATCAATGAGACAGGTGGTTGGCTTCACTCGTCCAAGCAGCCTGTCCACATCCTAAGAGGTAACAGATTGGAATTGATCCCACGCAACTTGACTAGACAGGACTCTAGCACTCTCCCGCCCTGGCCCTGCTCCCACAGTGGAGTCTACCTCTTCTTGAATCTGAGTGACTTTATCTGCAAAAAAACTTTGCAAAATCATTGCAGGAGATCATGTGGCCCATACTGGGCCCTGATGTAGGAGGTGCTTCCGCTGAATTGCAAACCACCTGAAAGAGTCTCCTGCTGCTGTTTTCTGCAGATACAACAGAGGCGGAGAAGAAAGTCCTCTTTGCCATCGCTACCACCACTTGGTAGGCTCGACATTGAGCTCTAACCCATATCCGGTCAGCTTCAGAATGAGTTATCCGCCACTGGCGCTCTAGCCATCTCAGCGATTGTTTCATTGCCCTCAGATCTGTGGAAAACCATGCAATCGGAGAGGGCGCTTCGGAGCCAAACAGTCAATAGCCCTGGTTAACTCCACATTCCAGTGGGCCACCAGGGAATCAGCTGAAAGGCCATCAACATGAGATAAAGCATCCCCTGCCACTCTCTGGAAACCATTTGGATTCATTAAGTGGCGGGGGCAGACCATCCAACAAAATGGCTGGGGCAGGTTCCACGGGGGGGGGGGGTGTACTGGGAGAACCAATC